CATGGAACCTGGCAGCCATTTGCAGCCAAGGGGAGCTGCGAGAAGCAGCAACCTGGGTCTCACTGCTTCTCATGACTCCACTTTGGTTGCAAACGGCAAACCACAGCCAGTGCAAGCCACGAGGATCTGTGGCTGTGAAGCTGGTAAGTAAACACACCCGAGCGGCTCCGTGTTAGCTTTCTCAGAGAGGGCTCACGGACCACTTTGAGAAATACTGAACTAGAGGAGAAAAATGAAATCATAGAATTGTAGGACTGGAAGAGCTCTTGAGAGGTCATAAAGCCCAGTCCTCTGCACTTATTTCAGGTCCACTGTCTGTGGTTCAGCACTAATAGTCAAAGCTTTCTGATTGTTGATCTCCAAGTAAAATTGGAGTTGAAAATGGAGTAATTTTTGAAATTAGAATTTTCATGAAAAATTGCAGCCATATTGCTCAGGGCAACAGTCTGAAAGTTGGTCATAAAATAAGCATTATTCTACACCATAAATTGATTTTAATTGTGTATTTATGCCATCTGCTGAAGTAGCTCCATGCTGGTTGGATTTTTAAGTGTTGGCTCTCAGGCTACAAAAATACTTCACTTAATCCCTTACAGGATAGTTGCTGAGTTCACCTTCCATTTACTTTTTGTAATATGATTGTATACTTTTAATTTCCTTGATAATATTTACTGCTTGAAGATAGTGAATGAATTCTCTGCATCGGTCTTCACTGCAGAATGATGCAAGAGAGATTCCCATACCTGACCCATTCTTTTTCTGTAATATATCTGAAGAATAACCCAGATCGATGTGTCAGTAGGGAAAAGTTGGGATAAATTGAACAGTAAGAAGTCACTATACCAGTTATGGAGAATATTCTGAAAACTCAAATATAATTAACAGTGGTATGTAAACTACTGCTTAAATCAACCTCTGTACCAAATGGCTGGAGGATAGCTAATGTAGCACTAATTTTTAAGAGCTTCCAGAGGCAATCTCTGGCTATTATAGGCTGGTTAACAGAACTTCAGTAGCAGGCAAATTGGTTGAAACTATAGTAAAGAACAGAATGATCAGATGTGGATGAATTGGATATGTTGGGGAAGAGTCAGCATGGATTTTTGAATGGAAATCATGCCTCATCTATCTATCAGACTTCCTTCGGTGAGTCAGGAAATATGTGCAAGGGTACATATAGTACCCTGCATATAGTATTCCTGGACTTCTCAAAAGCCTTGGACAAGGTCCCTCACTAAAAACCCTAATGCAAAGAGATTGAAAGGCCTCTCATGGATCAGTAGCTGGTTAAAAAATGGGAAACAAAGGGTAGGAATAAATTGTCTGTTTTTACAGTGGGGAGAGATGGATAGTGGAGTTCCCTGAGGACTGGTAATGAGACTAGTGTTTAACATATTTATAAATATGGCTAACAGCAAGGTGGCAAGGTTTGCAGACAGTACAACATAATTTGGGATAATTAAGTCTAAAACTGACTGCAAAGAATTACAAAGGATCTTCCAAAATCAGGTAACTGAGCAAGAAAATAGCAGATGAAGTTCAATGTTGATCAGTACCAAATAAAGCACTTTGAGGAACATAATCACAACTATAATAACAAAATGAGGGAGTCTAAATTTGCTGTTGCTACTCAAGAAAGATCTTGGAGGCAATATGGATAGTTCTCTGAAAAATCTCAGTGCAGTGATAGTTAAACTATCAATATTAGGAACCATTAGGAAAAGGATAGATAAGACAGAAAATATAATGGCACTATATAAATCCATGATATTCTCTCAGCTTAAATACTACGTGCAGTTCTGGTCACCTGTTGATGTGATGCGTTGTGTCTGAGTCCAGTGTCGCCACCCAGCGGTGAAAGTCTGTAGGGCTGGCAGTAGGGGAACCCAGACCCACTTGCTTTACTGGTTTCTGATCCAGGGCCCTGTTACTGGCAGTCATATATGTGTCCTGGGGTGGACACCTGCCAAGCCTGTTCCCTGAGTTGCTTCTTACCACAGTCTCTGCCCCTCTGGTGTCACAGCAGAGGTTGTTTAAGGACCCATCAAAGTGTAGGGCACCCCCCTGGCAGATATCTGGAGGCTCTTTCCAGTAGTTACAGCCTGCTGTTTCCAGTCCCCATGAGGCCCCTTGGTGTCTGTCTGCCAAAGTGGGGTCTGGTTGAGACAAGTAGGGCGCCTGCAGCCTATCTGTAAAAGCAAACCGTATAGGACTGGTCCCTTGCTCTGTCTGCAATGACTGGCTTGGGCCGCTCTCTTTTGAGCTTTGTGAACATGCCCAACAGGTATAATTTCAGGGTCTTTTGGGGCCAGAGTTCCCTTTAACCCTTGGTTCCCCATTGTGAAGCTTATACATCATATCACATCACTTGATATCTAAAACAATACATTAGAATTGGAAAAAGTACATAGACAACAAAAATTAAGGGTATGTTACAGCTTCCATGTGAGGTAGGGATGTCAACATGTAGTCGACTACGTGAGTAACCGATTAGCCTGGGCTTACAGTTAATCCTATCGACTACATGAATTTCTGATGCAGAGGCAGCAGAGGTGTTAGGGATGTTAGTGCATAACTGTGTTGATGATTAACCAATAAGCCTGGGCTTATCAGTTCATTCTAATGACTACACATACTGTTAGCCTCCCTTTTGCTGCCTTTCTATTAGAGGCAGCAAGTGAGGGGGAGGAAGGAGCCATTCCCCACGAACACTGAATCCTGTGGAAATGCCTGCTACTTCACCCCCCTGATAGAGAGGCAGCAGTGCAGAGGGTGAGGGGAGCAGGTGGAAGCCAGTACATGTGGGAAGCCGGCTTTCAAGCCAGCTCCCTGCGCATATCAGCTCATGGGAGCTGCTTGGCCCCCCAGTGCCCATGCTACTGCCTCTTTATCAGAGGTAGCTGGTGCAGCCTCTGTCCATGGGGAGCTCGGGCCACATAGGTGCTAATGGTTTTAAGGTCAGAATGAAAAAGATGAACAGAATTTTTTTGGAGTGTTGCAGATACCTAAAACTTTGATCTTAATGATTTTTTTTAAATCCTGTGTTACTAATTAATACATAGTATATTGTGGTGTTACATTAAGGGCAGATCTTTGCTGTGTAGTAGAGTTCTGTCTCTTATGAGTCAGAAGTAGAGAATACTAGGTGTGATGCTAGTGTTTTTGTAGAATGAAACCTTAATTTGCAAGCTCTTTGAAACATGCATTTGTCTACAAATCCTGAAACCATGTGTTAATTTGTTCTGGGGCGTCTGCAGTTTGAGTTGGGGGGACACACAAGGTGAAAGTTTCTAACTAGGAGAATTTTTATCTAGTTTTACAGGCCTCTGTTTCACTTGTTCTTGTATAGCATGGATCCTAAACATTTCCCAGAGAAACTGTATAAGCCTTAGTGAATGCCTTTTACTTTCCTTTCCAGTGTCAGTAAATATTGTATTGGTATTTGCAAGGAGAGCATGACTATTTTTAGTTGACTCATATATTTGTTTTCCATCTTAAAGCTGAGTTGTGTGTGGGTAACATGCATTTTGGTGTGTTTACTAGCATGAGTTTAGGAAGGATGATGATGATAAATGTACTCCAATGGGGTTGTTAATGTTCTTTATTTGGTTTCATATCAAATATCATAAGCATTGCTGCTTATTAATTATCCCTTGTTTTAATATATTTTCTTCCACACCCATGAACTGTTTAAAATATATTTTTTATTTGTACTAGTGGTGCACCTTCTTACACTACTCAAGATTGGTGGTTTACATAAGAAAATTCAACCCGTCTAAGGATAGAAAATGTTAGAGGGAAAACAGTTGGGGACTATCGAATAATCATGTAACCAATAATATTTGGTGCAGTTACATGATTATTCAGTTACACAATATTTAACATCCCTCATGTGAGGAGAAATTAAAAGACTCGGACTGTTCATCTTAGAAACAGAATGACTTAAGAGGGATATAATGGTGGTCTATAAAATCATAAATAGTCTGGAGGTAGAAACGGAAGTGTTATTTGTCCTTTTGCATAACAATGGAATTAATAGGAAGGAGGTTTAAAACCAGCTTGAGGAAGTACTTTGTCATACAACGCACAGTCAACCTGGAGAAATGGTTGCCAATGGATAATGCCAAAAGCATAATTGGGGTCCAAAAAAGAATTAGATAAATATATGGAGGATACATCCATCAGTGGCTGTTGTCCAAGATGTGCAGTGACACAACTTCGTGCTCTGAGTGACTCTAAACCTCTGACTATCAGAAGCTGTGACCGGGGGTCATTTGATAATGACTATGTTCTGTTCATTCCCTCTGAAGCATCTGACATCTGCCTTGTCTTCTGGCAGTAGTTGTGGGCTAGGTAGACTACTGGTCTGATCTGATATGGCTATTGTATAAGCCTAGTAGTGCCACGTGAGTATAAAATACACATTCTTTCCTCTTCGCCCACAAATTAGAAGGTATTTTGAGTTGTTTGGAAACTTTTTTTTTTTAAGGACAGACTTTGTAATAGTCGTATCAGTCCATCTGTACCATCTACACAGTATATTTATTCTCCTTTAAACTACTGAAAATCTGATAATCTGTTATACGTGAGAAACTATTGGACTGATCAAAAACTAACAGAGGCAAATGGGACAGTTTCAGTGGATTTTCTTTGCATTAGGCTGCTTAATTTCTTTTAAAATCAAAACATAAACCAATCCAGTAAAACCACAAACAAAAAAAGAAATGCACTTCATGTTCAGACTGCAGATTGCTATTGTAACTGAATAATGTACGTTATAATCATTTCCTATCCACACTTAGCCATTAACATTAAGTAGCTAAATAAAAAACAAAAAATTGCTCTTCATTAAAGGGATCCTCAAAAAAGTCATGTGTAAACATGTTTGTGCATTTGCACAACCCTCACCCCCCCAAAAAGATTGAGGCATTAAGTGCCCCATTTGTCTTAATGGGTACTAAGTCAGATTCCCAAAGACAGTACTTGAAATATCAATATTATCATCAATTTCAGTACTTGAGCACATTTGGTATAAAGGAGCACATATTGTTCAGGGAATCTTATCCCTGTGCTTCAACTCATTTTATCAGTACTATTCACAGTAACTGGCACTGGATTTCACTACATTTTACTTGCTATTTATTTGACTGAAATTCTCAAACGATTTTTTGTCATTAACAGACAGCATTATTGAAACGTCAGGGTCGATATATATGTTCTACTGTTCCTGAAAATGCAGAAAAGGAAGCTCAAAGCTTGTTTGTGACTGAGGTAATGTTTATTTGTGTGCAAATGTGTATAACTAAAGTTCACAGTTTGCCTACTTGCTTTTGTACATTAAATTAATCAGTGCTAAAAAAAAAATTACTGGATGCTTATTGGCATCTAATTAATAAAAGAAGGCAGAAGTCCCCAGGTGGGATTGAAGGTAGAAACCTAGTGATTCCTCTCTTAGTTGGTGGAAATGAACGGTGATGTCCTAGCTACATGGTAGCAATTGTCTGGATATCCGGAAAGGACAGGAAGCACTTGATAACCAATTTTAATCCGGTTGAAACTTTATATAATGTCTGGGACTATCCAGCAAATAAAATGTACAGTGCAGGCAAATCCATGTTTATTGAAATAGTTAGTCAGTGCTTCCATCAGCCCCTCTTCATTTCCATCCAGATTCTCCAGTCAAACTATGGCTTGTACGTTAACATCCACCCGGTCATAGGAGGGCTGAGGTAGGCTATGAGAACAGGAGAGGATGGTTTGGCTCTCTGCTGTACCAATCATAGGAATCTCCAAGCCCCTCCCCTGTTCTATTCCTTTACAGAGTTGTCCTCCTTCAGCAAGCCCACATAACCCCAGCCCCACTTACATTGTGATGTGTTCATTTTTCGTATCAGCTGTGGCTAGTAGAAATCGGAAACTTCTTACCCTATCTCTCTCTTGGATTTTTGGGATTGTTGGGGGGCATTTCCCTTCTTCCCTTCTATCTCACTCCTGTATAGCTTCTTATAGTTATCCTGGCCTGGGTAAAGTGAAATGCTTAGGGTTCTGGTTAGTGTCACTGCTTCAGAATAATATTGGGAACTAACTGTGGAGTTGACTAGAGTCTGGTTAATTTCACTTTGTTGCTGATGTTGACTAGAAGAAACTTTATTTACCACTGGCAAGACTAGTTTTCAAGTAATCATAGCATAGTAAAATTGTCATTGATTATACTGTTTCAGGAGCAAGTTCAGGGCACAGACAAGCCTTATGAAAACTTTTTTTTCTCTCTCTCCGCCCCCTTCCCCTCCCCC